CTATATTACAGTTCTCCAATAAACTGTTGCAATGTTTTTCACTTTTCAACTCATCACCTTATAGCAAAATGAAAATGTACTTGAAATTTTCAAAAAAAAGTTCAAAACATGGGAAAGTATCTCATCTCAAGATCTGCCAATTATGTAAGCAATATTCACATTTTTGGTAATGTTATGTAATTTACAAACTACCCAGGTCATTGCAACAGTTTATTGGAGTACCCCCAGGCTGAACAGAAAATAGGAATATCATGTGACATGTCATGTGATATTGTTTACTGTACACACTAGTAAACAAAATGACATTAATAAAGCATAAATACTGAAGGACTTCACATGATAAGGCCCCAAATCCAAAATGCATCCTTTAGCCACTTCAAAAGTTGAACAAATCCTTTCCCTCATTGATTCTGGCCATAGTGCTCACTGGCCACCATTACTCCACTGTCACTCACCTATGGTCTAAACACCGTTCTGATGTTCCCAAGCCCAGTGGTGGTCGTCCATCCAAGCTTTCTGACACTGATATTCGCCATGCTTGTCGTCTCATCAACTCTGGGAAGGCTGACAACTCATCCCAAGTCACCCAAATACTCTGAAACATCAATGACACATCCCTCTCCATTGAGACTGTATGTAAAGGGCTCAAAAAAGCTGGTTGGAAAGCAGTGGTGAAGAAAAAAGGCCTATGCTCACCAGGTGTCACAAGAGGGACAGGATGGATTTTTCCCTCAGCCACAAGGAGTGGACTCTAGAGGACTGGAAGAGAGTTGTATGGTCTGATGAGACTAAGGTAAATCATCTGGGCTCAGATGGGAGGAAATGGGTGTGGAAGCGGGTGGGGGAGCCTCTCACTGACAGGTTGGTGCAAGGCACAAAAAAGTTTGGTGGAGGTTCCATCATGGTATGGGGTTGTATGACCTGGGATGGGGTTGGAATGGCATGCAATATTGATGGGAAGATGGATGGGGACCTGTATTGCCAAATTTTGGATGAGGAACTACAGGAAACCATATCATATTATCACAAAAACCCAGCCCATGTCCGCTTCCAACAGGACAATGACCCCAAACACACCAGTAAAAAGGCCCAAAACTGGTTCAATCATGTGAAGAGGAAGCTTGGGGAATATGAAGAACCTCCAAGTAGTGTTCAGGAGGAGTGGGATGGGATAGATCCAAGTATTTGCCAGAATCTGATTGAGAGTATGCCTAGGAGGATTGAGGCAGTGGTTAGAGCAAAAGGTGGCTATACAAAGTATTAATTAATGCCATTTTCCCTTCCCAAAAATGTACTCCAATAAACCGTTGCAATGACCTGGGTGGTTTGTAAATAACATAACATTACCAAAAATGGACATATTGCTTACATAATTGGTACATATTTAAATGGGATACTATTACATGTTTCAAATATTTTTTTGAAATTCTAGAATACATTATCATCATGCTATAAGGTCATGAAGTCAAAAGTGCAAAACATTGCAACAGTTTATTGGAGAACTGTACATCTGGACTGCAAGTGAACCACTGAAGTGGGTTGCCATATTTGTGTTAGTGTCAGGGCACACACCCTGACTAGCTCGGACCCGGACCTGCATCCAGACCCGCATGTGTGCTCCACCCTGCATGCTCCAGGCCCTGGTTCCCATCTCTCATGTGACTTCCAGATATCTCCAGAAGTTTTTGCCATATTGTGGCCACTGTGGGAAAGTGAGAAGTTAACCTTCTTCTGTCAAAACCGCAACGATCTGGATGCAGATGGGGCTCAACTAGAGGGGTTCCAAGAGCTCTGGTAGTGAACCAGAGCTTCTCCAGGAAGCCTGGGTCTGCTGGGTGTTACAAGCGGCTCTAAGAAGGATGTGGCCTCAGCAACTTGGAGGGAGCGCTGTGCCTCCGTTACATCTCAGTTAGTCCTTCATTTCAGATGTCTGGGGTATCTTGTAAGAGGGGAACACAAATCACTCATAGGGGAACTTTGGGGTAAGTTTTAGTCGAGATTAGAACTGAGGTACAAGGAGTTCTAATCTACAGGTATATATAGAGGGAGGAGGAGAAGGACTTTAGCCAAAGTCTGAGTGATACTGAAAGGTACCAAAAGGTTCTGAACAATATTTTTAATGGGGAACCGAGGTGTCGGGTTGAGGAGGGCGGAGTAGAAGGCTGGAGGATAAATGGGAACGAGAAATGGGTAAGGGGAAGTTAGCTGACTGAATTGAAAGGAGACATCAGTTGTACTATAAGTGGAAGATGACTAATTAAGATGATGAGAGCAGGGTCACCGGAGGATATGGGTAGCTCCAATGCCGGAGTTACATATCTGAGAAATGTTGGGTGACTCCACTAAATGAAATGGAAAGAGGAAGGGTTTAAAAGTATATAACAAGATGTTGGGGGTCGGTCAGTCAGTCAGTCAGAGTGATCTGGAGGTTCCAAATGTTCTGACTCAGGACTGAGCTTCTGGGATGGAGGTGGCAGAGGAACGAATGTGCCGAAGTCCAGGCCAGAGCTGATACAGTTGGGATGGAGGGTGACGTTGGGAAGTAGGGAGGTATGGTGTAGGGGATGATGAGGTTGTTAGGAAGGTGTAGTGGGGTGGGAGAGTGTGGTGTTGGGATTCCAGGATATGACATCTTCTCACTTTCTTACCCACAGTAGTTCTGTGCCCTGGGATTGGGCTGTTACGGGTTAGACTGTGGACTGCAGAGAGGGGTCATGGGGACCCAGGGTTCATCCCCTGACAGTTAGATACGGGTCCAGGGTTGGCACTGAGGGTCATGTGGGTTTGCTGTTGCAGGCCACTATTGGCTGCATGTCAGGGACTGCATGTCAATGACTGCATGTCAGTTCACAACAATAGAGGTGTTCCTGAGAAACCTAGTTGTTGTTAATGCTGGAGTGCCACCTTCAGTGGAGATAGGGGTTATATACATGGATACTGCTATCCACTAGAGTGCAGCTACAAATGAGATAAGAAACTGCTGATAGAATGATGACATGAAAAGATAGCTAATACATTCGGGTAATCATCAGCAAGGTGTGGGAAAGGGGTGACATGTGGATGGAAGATAGGAAGCAGGAGCTAAGTGAGATTACCTGCATTCTTCAGATCTCTCTGGATTGTCTTATGGCAACTCCCTTCTGGCATAGGGGGTCAGGGTAGCTGGTTAGGCCATGCCCTGACACTGCGATGCTGTGAGCAAGCTCAAGGGTAGGGCCTTTGGCCTCAGCAACTCTAAAGGAGCACTGTGCCCCCTAGTTGTCTCTTGGCCCTCATTTCAGATGACTTGAGTTGCTTGCTGGGGGGTCAGAGCTGAGGTACAATAATGTATCATACAGGATATATATAGGAAGACGAAATGAATAGAAGCAGACCCAGGCTGAAGGCCAAAGGGTCTGGAATCAAAAGGGAACAAAGAGCAGGGTTGGCTGCACAGTGGCCAGCAATGACCAAGGTGTCAGGGACTGACCTGGGGTCGAGAGCGCCCAGGTATATCGCCCAGGGCTGAGGGTCCGGTAGGTATGATGCAGGTGTGTGTAACAACAGGCCCAAAGCAGACAAGGGTCCCTGGCCACTCAGGCTAAAGTGGGAAATGTGTTATTGTTATTAACAAGGGAAATGTGAGAAGAAGGTTGCTTCTCAGTTCCCACTTAGGCTGTGTTTATATACATGTGGTTGAAGGCCACGTGGGAAGCACCATGTCATCTATGCACACAGCCACATCTGTCCGGGTACCTCCGTAAGAGGTCTTAGGAGTGTCCAGTATGTGGGAGGTCATCCGGTGTGTCTGGGTCCGGGCACGTTACACTGCAGTCGGGTCAATGGTACATTGATACAAAGGAAGTCGTCCATGTGATAAGAAAAGAATAAAGAGGAAAGAGAAGAGAAAAGAGAGGGGAGAAGAAAGACAAGAGTAAAAGGGGAAGAGGGGGAGGTCAGGAGGAGCGGATGGTGGGGCACCGGGTCAGGTGGGGCCGGGTCAGGCAGGTGTGCCCTGACACAAGGGTCAAAACAGATAAATATGTGAAGGAATGTAGGGCCGCAATAGCAGCGATGGTATCATAGCAGCACCAGACTCGGAGTTGGGCATGGGAACAATAGTGGCCTGATGAGGCCAAGCAGGCAGAGTAGGAGGAGTCATGCTGGGCATGGTGCTGGAGGTGGACTTGGGGTGGGGAGGCTGGTGTGGCTGGGGGGGAGTTGGCCGGGTGCAGGGGAGCCTAGGGGCAAGCAGGGGGGGTGAGCAGGGGGTCCTCAAGGAGAATAGGGATGAGGGTTGGGGCTTGCACTCATGCTTGCACAGTGGGATGGGCTCAGGCAGCATTGGGACAGGCAGCTAACAGGCCGGAATGCACGGCCATGACAGGACAGCAGAAAAGGGTTGGCTGGTGGTGAATGTCTGATTGGTTAGGTAATTATCAATTACATTGTAGTTACATTGTAGTTCATGTACTTTAAACTGAGTGCTTGTATGCAGCTAGTTCATCATTTCAATACACTTCATTGGGACATTTGAGATGAAGTGCTTGAAGAAGTTTTGGAGTAATTTGGATGAATTGGGATTTCAATTCTTGCTCCATACCAAATTCCTAAATTTGGGAACTGGCATCTCCCAAAATGATGGATACTGCTGATTGAATTGAAAGGGGGGGGTCTCACACATTGCCCTAATCCTAAAAAGGGACATGATGTTTAGGATTTCCATAACTGACCCCCCTTGTAGGAGGATTGGAGTGAGCCATTGTTGGAAATGCAAGTTACCAGAGATATCCAGGGGGCATGTGGAGGATAATGTGGAGGAGTTTACTAAGCACACAGCCTGCACAGGAGTTGCCTTATGTAGATTATTCATTATATGCATGGACATTATCCCCAAATCACTAGTTATATTCCTGCTTCTATCTTACATCTGTGCTATGAGTGAACTGCTGGGAACTGGGTTGCCTTATCTGGAATGCCATTTACAACAGCCATACCCATGCCAGATTAATTCTACAGTGTCAGCTACAGTGTGTTAAATGCCTCATTCGAATAAATATGTCACCATCAACAAGGTCATTGACAAAAAATGTGTCTGCTCCATTGCTGGACTCCAAGAATGTGGGGACCAACACTCCACAAATGACAGATTCCAATGAGATGATAGTGGATGAACTTTCTTCACTAAGTTTGAATCGTCTGAAGCTAACAGGTTTGTCTGAAAGTGGGCAGGAACTGGGGTGGATAGGAGTGTAGCAGCGGATGAGGGCAAGTTGTACTGTACCAATGATACTTGAAGGTGTGATACCAAACATCAGGACCAGCTGGGCAAAAGCTGGGCCATTGACTGTGTCTACCATTACAGAATCATAGTGGGCTTGCCCATAGAAATTTGGATTGGTGCAGAGTAAATCATGATTGGTGTACCAGTGAACTTGTGACTCATATGCAACCTCAAGCAAGTGGTACTCAGTGATCTATGTGAGTGGATCAGTATGAGGCCATTGAAAAGGTTGGATCCTACATTCTCAGTTTTAGGAAGTAAGGTTGCCAGCCCATAAACTGTTTTGAGGAAATTGAGTGTTTTATGCTGGAAATCCTTGAAAATGGAATGTTGGGCCATGGTTTGTTCATGCTCAACCATGCTGAGAGTGAGGCCATATGGATGCCTGTGTGGGCTGCGTAATTTGATGTGAATTACTTCATCATCCTGGTGTGTTGGAATGTGTGAGTCATCACTGGGCTCCCTGGGCATTATCTGCTGAGCATTATATTCTTCTGCATGCTCAATATTCCGCTTTATTAACTTCAAAACTGCTTTGTGTTGGTCCTTAAGCACAATCTGGATTTAAAATAGCATGAGTAGCCTGAGATACTGCTGAAGAGTTTTCATACCTGCTTGTCAACATTTTTTTTGTTACTTGACAAATACATCTGCCAGTATTCCCAATGATGCCTTTCACCTGGCTTGGTACTGGCATGAATAAGGGCCCCTTTCTTGCACACATCATCAAAGGTGTGAGATGTTGCATGTGCTTTGGGGAACAGCCAAGATTTCTGCCCATTGGGTGCTAATGATTTAGTGTGTGCCTTTTTCATATTCCCAACTAGCTATTCAGGGATAATAAAAGGCTGAAAAGATTGTGAGACATGATGACTATGTTTGAGCTGAGTTTATATGTACCTGTTTCATTGCATCTGAAAGTCGCTGCACAACTTTATGACCCCATTCAAGAGTTTCATCAGTATGGACTTCCAGAGAAATAAGGACTGAGAACTCTGCAAGAGCACAAATGAGTGTTGAGATAGGGTAAAATGCCTCATTTAAATCATGGAGTCCATGAAGAACAACCTTGTTACAGGAATGGGTTCTGGGGAACCCAACCTGAGCCGTTCAGCTCATTAATGGAGGTGGCTGCATAGCCATCGGAGGGAGAGCGGAATAGGGTGAGTGTATGGAAGTACAACCTGTGTGTCGGCCAACGGTAACTTGGCGCTCCTGGGAGCATACCAGTAGCGAGTATGATGTGGGCTCCTTGAGGGAGCTACCTGACTGTCTGCTAATGGGGACTTGGCACTCCTGGGAGCATGCCGGTAGCGGGTGTGCTGGGAGTGTTTGGCTAGCGGTGACTTGGCACTCAATGGAGCGTACCGGTAGTGAGGGATACTGGGACTCCCAAAGGGAGTCACCCAGTTGGTGGCTATCGGTGACTTGGCGCTCATGGGAGCGTTGTAGGCAGGATAATCGCCCACGCGCAGAGCCGGCTTGGATACCCAATTTCACGACTATAAAACCACTTCCATTCACGCAACAACCCGATACAAATTCGATATCTAAAAATAGTGCTAAATCCTACGATTCCGATGATATCAAGAACGTCCCAATCGGTGGAGATTTGATGGAGTTCCGTGTTGGGCAAGTTAGGCATGGCAGGTCATGAGCATGTGCGGGCATGGGAATCTCAAGTGGTGAAGGAGCGGAGCTGGATCACCTTATGTAACCAGTTTCCTACGTCCAATAACGATATTAGAGTTTGTGCTGATTTGCGTACTGACCGTGTTTTGGTTGCCAAATATATGATTGTTCACTGTCTAAACAACAATAAACACCCCCCAACGATCTCACCTGATGTATAGATCGTCTATGGATAAAATTCTATATTGACTTTACTATGATTTCTAGTCAATATTACACCTATATTTCCCACTTTTCAGTAGGACGTGATTTTCCTGATAATTTACTGAAGGAAAACTGCTAATAAAATAATTCCGCAATAAATGTTACTCAATACAGGAGTGACAAAACTGCTCTTTCTATCGCTTAGAGTGCGTGCTAGTTATCTAGCAGGTTCAGGATCGCTCACTTTTCTCCTGTGGTGTGGTAACCAGAAATTGCTGAGGGATTATTCAATTAAGAAGTCCCTCCACCAAATTCTCACTAATTCTCACTATGACACTTTTGTTCAGCTGTGTCTAACTGACCCTAACTCACGCTTAGAGTGACGTGTTAGTTTTATATTAGCTAACAACTAATATTTGCTTTTATCTTTTGGAGCAAACGAACCAACCACTGGTGAGGAGAATTAAACTTTTATTTCTACCTGAGGTTTGAGAGGGGGCAGAAGCGGCGGCCTTTTATGCTTTTCAGAGGCCTCTCTACTCCCACGCCTCGCACTAGTTACATGTGCTACATTTGTATTATAGATAGTTCTAGAATGATATAGGGGCTTGGGCTGTGTAAGCTTAATAATGGACTTAGGACATGACTCAGCAATAAGTAATTCATTTCTTTGTCTTTTGGGCCGATCTCGGCGGGATCTTGTAGCGCTGAAGCTATGCTCTACACCGCCTTAATTACGAACGGTTATCTTTAGAAATGACTCGGCTATAAAGGAACTTTCTAGACTGTTCTCTAATTGACCCCTTTTGGTGAAGCTGCATCATTACTAATGTTCTAGAGCCTTCCCAATTAATTAACTGATCCGCGGACTTCTGAATCACTTCATGCTTATAATCCGAGATCCAGATCATCAATCATTCCTTTGTTCCGATTTATCTGAGCTTAAAATCAAAAAGTTTTGATGAATCATGGGAAAATATACAAGATCCGGTTTTTTAGCATTTTCTCCTCTTCTGATGCGATCAAAAACTGTCCGCCCGCGCCGGGGAATACTCTATCATATGGTATTCGGTCCGCCAGACTTCCGGGCGCCAATATATTTTCCTTGAGTCACATTACTTTTTGTAAGAATTAGCAAATAAATATATATGAATTATAAGGTGTTTCGCCGTTTGAGCGATATCTCCGTCAGTTTTGAAGCTTTTAGAATAAAACAAAATTGTGGATAAAGTTAAGAAACAGTCCTTTTAGATGGTAAAAAGATTACAGTCAAAAGTTTACTGGTTCCCGAGATATTCACATTTCTTTCCCAATGTTCCTTCTTATTCTGCCGTCTATGTGCTATTTTCTTGTTGTAGGGTTATATTCTTTGAATATTACACCTATGCCAAGTCCTAGGCATGATTGTAGTAGATTAAATCTCATACTACATGGGTGTAGATAATTTATAATGATCTAATGTCTGTCCAGTCTCATAAAGATCATGAGATCTGTTAAACGTCTGAACTTGTCACCTGTTCGTTGACTATTCTGATAGATCATTGTTTTATTCTTTGAATATTATTTCTCCTACAGCGGCAACCCAGAATTTCAGTCTCACTCGTTCCCACGGCGTCTAATAAATTGGTAAAAATGCCCATTGGCTGCGTAATAGTTCCATTCAGCCACATTTCTAATTTCAGCTCTTAATTCCGTAAATCCATTGAGATATCGCTTATTTTCTTATATTTTCATATTTTGCCATCATTTCAGATATTGATTGATATTCTTTTATTGTTACTGTTACTCTTTTTATTGTTCCTTATATCCTGTACATACCGGATTCTGGAAAAGAAGTTCTCCCCTCCCCCAGATTCTCTAAGGTGCTAGGACGCGCTAGAGAGGGTGTGAGTGTGTGGAATTCCAACAGTAGGAATAAGGGCAGTGATCTAGCTCACAACAAGTGAGTAGTGGACACTGAGCCCGGACCTTGCGGAAATCCTGGAGAACCCACCGTGGAGTTAAGGATCGAGAGATAAGCAGAGTATAGTCAAGAAAGTAGGAGTTTAGGGAGTTTGGCCCCCACGAGCTTAGTCGGCATAGAGAGCTGCGAGCCCTCTTTCAGCGTACCGGTAGTGGGAGTTGTTGGGGAAAGCGGGCTGGTGGACCAGTGCACGGTAGTGGGTGACCGTGGGAAGTGGGACCCGTGGGTGTGTGGCCAGGCATCCTGGAGCTGCCTGGACCATATCCTTCTCCTGAGGAGGTGGGATAGGTTACAGTTCCTGATAGGGAACTTCTGGTTGGATGGGAGTAACCACTCAACCACCCGGTGGACTGGTGGGAGTGGGCAGTAGGAGGTTGGGCATGGGAATGCCCTCCTCGCTGCAGTTTTGTCATGGAGAGGAGGAATAGGGAGGTGGACATGGTTCCAGGGTTACAGGTTGAGTTTACAGTGGTGACACAATGGTGAGGATGTTACAATTGCGGTACAAGGTTTGTGGGTTATGTATTTGATAATGAGAAAAACATCTCGGCATTTGCCATACATGTCATATGACTTGTATCTATCTAATACAAAGGTTGTAATGGCCAAGGGAAGTCCCTTGGAAATCAACAAATCCCCCAGCCAGCACCAAAACCCAGTGGGAAAGCTTGGCATGGGGTTTGGCAAAGAACAAAGTGAAGGGAAGGAATTGTCTTACCTGTGTGCATGGTCCATAGGAATCTCCATTTCCATAACAAACCTAGCATGAATTAGCAAGGCATAGTGTCAGAATAACATGCCCTCACCTTGAGAAGGTGACTATATTTTGTGCCATCTGAGAATGACATTGAAAGGCAATTTTAAAGTGGGTCAACTCTGGCCACCGTGGAATCCCTGAGATACTAAAATCCTTATTTTAGTGTTCTACAACTCTCCATCCATTTGACAAGCTTACTGCTGCTCAAATTTTGCCCAAATAAACTTGGGATATCCTTCAATAATCCCCTTGCATAATGGCCCCCCCAGAGTCCCAAATCATTGAAGTGAAGTTTGTCATAGGATACCATTGCATGTGGATCACTCCCAAGAGCCCAGAAGGCATTCTAAACTTTGATTATTAGAATAAAAAAATCCAAGGGAATTTTGAGTCATACCCAAACCCCAGCCAAGCCAGCACTGGAGAGGATTTCAGCTGCCTGCTTCTTTGTGTTGGCAGATTGTGCAGATTCAATTATTGAATGACTGTCTTCTGATGTCCGAACAGGCCATTTGACTGTCAAGGAGGATAGTTGGCTGGTGTGAACCTTGCATCGGGGGCAAGGATAATTTGCATTTGGTCCCAATGTGCCTGTCAACATGGTCCTAGACAAGTGGAACATCCTCAATGTATTAGCTTCAATTGTCATTGTGGAGCATCACTCACTGCTCTTCTCCATCAGCAACAGCATCCTTGATATAGAAATAAATATGATGTTCCTTCCCATCACCACACTGGAGCCGAGTTACAACCTTACTAGGTGTTCTAAGAGACTCAAACACCTCAGCAAAGCTGCTGTGGATCAAGTTCCTGCGATATGATGCCAGGTCAAATTTATCTTCTGCTCTTTCTTCAACCTGGAAGGATATAATTAGAGCCCAAAAAAAAACATATGCCATACATGAGGAAGGAGTCCAATTAGGTGGCCACCTCCAAATCCAGTTGTGTTCCTGATGTTGTTGTGGATGTTGAGGACATGCAGGATGACTGGATACACCTTCACTGTTCCAAAGCTGGACAGCTGAGACTTGTCAGAGTACACTGAGAGTGCCAGTAGCATGGAAGGTGTCCCATCATCCTGTTCTGGGAGATCATTCTACCAAAGTATTGTTATTGAGAGGCATAACTGTTAAAAATAAAATGCATACCATGATGTCCCAGAATTCATCTGCAGTCCAGGGCTGACTTATAAAGTGAGGAAATTTGTATCCGGTGCGACTACTGGACTTATCCGGAGCTCCAAATTCTTATGACGTAAACCAGCGTGACTGGACAAATGACATAAAATGGACAAGCCTGGTATCGAACCCAGGACTTCTAGCGTGCATCCATACACTACTCGCCCGTTATGCCAGGGGGGGGTACCCCTTCCCTGATGGTTTGGGAGATCACTTGATCCCTTCCTCCAACATAAAGCACATCCAGCCTCCACTTGTTGACTTGTATGTCTTTTGGGGAACCCATTCAACTTCATGGATGTATAGTGGATCACAGAGGAGGTCAGTCAGATACTGATGCACATTTTTGCAAAAGAGGATATGAGAACACCTTTCAGAGGTCTTATCTGATGGAACAACTGGGACCACCACAGTATGCTCCTCAAACTAGTGCCACATGAGCTGCTAGCAATATAAAATTGGAAATGGGCCCACATTTGTAAGAAGCTCTGCAGCTTTGTTGAGTGTTTTTTCAAATCCTTTATAAGTGGTAAAGGTAATGGCTGGTTGGGGAGATTGCTGATGGATTTTAATATGTGTCCCTATTGAGTGAATTGAGCAGTTATCTTCAGTGACCAGTTCCGCAAACTCAAAGTCTGCCTTGGTTGCAAAGGGTGCCCAAGGACTTTCAAATAGGTTGATATTTGAAATAGTCTTGGCATCAGAGTTTGATGTTCCCATAGTAAATGAAAGTATCTTTGTTGCAATGCCAGACTTAGGGTGAAATTCAATCTTGAGTAATTCTGAAGTAGCCTCTGCTTGTGTTTGGACCTCTGCTCATGAACTCTGGTGAGGGTACAGTGGTGGAAATGACAAGGCACTGCATACCTGGCACTACATCTGGTGGGTCCAAGGGTTCCAAAGATGACATGTCTTCAGCAATGTTTGACCCTCCTGCTTTTGGTGGTTCTGTGAAATTCATAGGGGAGCAAAACATGAAAACATTAGCAATCTCACTGAGCTGACACACCTGGGATACCAGCCAGACTTGTTTCAGATGTCCTGGCTTGTCCTTGAAATAATTGATTTCATGCATTTGCCATCTTCTTCTCCAAGTGTTGTTTTACCATTTTTCCTCACAATGCATCACATGACGCTTCCACCCTCGAGCTTCAAAGGTTCTGTTGGTCACTGAACAGTAGAAGTTGGTGTGGTCATGGATGGATGATGACATGTTGACAGATGAGGTGCTAGGGGATGTATGTTCTTTGTACTGTTGTTATCCCAGTGTCCAAGTTGATTCTGAGGGTAAGGAGCTGAACCTCTTGTTACATGCCCTTTTATACGCATGATAGTCTATTTGATTTGAACCCTACCTGGCATCAAATCAGATCCCCTCCCAACATCAATCAAATTCCTTCCTGGGCATCAGATCAGATTCCTGGCATCAGACCAGATTCCCTCCCAACATCAGATCAAATTCCTTCCCTGTGTCAGAACCATGCAAAGTCTCACCCATGATAGTCGTTGGCAACCGAACATTGGCCGCTGAGGATATAGGTGTCCTACTCACGACTGAGCTTGAGCAAGGTTAACCTCACCAATCTTGAGGCTGAGGGTGCTTAGGCAAGTGGGCTGGGATTTTGGCTTCAACAACTCAGGGAGGAGCATTGTGCCTCGTTCTCGATGCAGTCCTGATACTTCAGAAGGCAGAGGTCTTACGGGGAACAGAGGTAAGCTAAGGAGGGGAATTCTAGTTGATTTCGAACTACTGTACAAGCAATAGTTACAAGCTGTATATAAGCACTAGAGAACTGAATAGAAAGTAAGTTGCCAGATCTCATGGAGATTGCAGGCAGAAGAAGGAAAACAAACAAAGAAGCATGTGGTTAAGACAGCAAAAGTCAACATGACCTTCACCACGAGATAATGAGGTGCAGCAAAACATGGAACAAGAGGTTGCAGCGCTCTGTGCCGCTGAGTCATTCAACAACAATTAGAGGAGGGGACATTGAGACATAGTGGGAAGTGGTTAGACAGCGATGGGCAGTGAGCGGAGTGTGCAGGGAGTGTTCAGGTGTGGGAAAAGGTCGGGGAGGAGATCGTCTGACTCCAGGGAACGCCAGGTTGTGACACCCTGGCATCAGATCAGATTCCTTTCTTAGGCCTGAACCCATGAAGGCCCAGAATTAGTGAGATAGGAGATCTGTGAATTAAAGAAAAGAGGAAGGCAAGAAGCATGCAAAGTGTCAAAACCGTGATGATCCTACTAGTGCAGACAGGGCTTAACTAGAGGGATTCCAAGAGCTCCGGTAGTGAACCGGAGCTTCTCCAGGAAGCCTGAGTCTGCTGGGTGTTACAAGAGGCTCTAAGAAGGTGTCAGAGACCAGATTCGAGACGAAGGAGTGTCTCCGTAACGGAGGGCTTCGGCCTCAGCGACTTCTGCCAAGAGCGCTGTGCCTAGTGACACGTCCATGCCCTAACTTACTGACTGGCAATTAGAACCTAGGGGGGTAACTCTAGTTGATTTTTCTACTGGGGCGTAACCTATGTACAAGTGGGATATATATATGGTTACAGCGGGGACGGGTCCGCAATTGGTGGAGCCGAACGGAGCAGAGCTAATGGGGTTTAACCATTAGCCGACTGAATATTACTGACGAGTCGGTTCGCAGGGTTAGCGGAAAGGCAGGCGTTAACCCAGAAACGGAAAGGAGGGATAGGCCCGAAGGTGGGCTCTGCAGGGCAGGCGAGTGTATTGCCCAGCGGAGGGGGGGTGCGCTAGCGGACGTCGGAGCTGTCCGGAAGTCTTCGGGGCTCCGTACTTGGGGAGGCGTAGGTAATAAATTGAAATGAGGGGGTGGTGACCATTGAGGGGTACCGAGAGGATTGTGGAATACAGGGGCTCCGAGGTTGGTGAGGGAGGAGCGGAGTTGGATCGGAGGGATCGGAGGGACCGGAAGTCGATGGCCGGGAATGGATATGACAGAAGGATGCAGTCTCAGTGACTCGGAGAGGAGCGCTGTGCCTCCATTATGTCTTAGTTAGTCCTTAATTTCAGATGTCTGAGGTATCTTGTAAGAGGGGGACACGAATCACTCATAGGGGAACTTGGGGGTAAGTTTTAGTCGAGATTAGAACTGGGGTACAATGAGTCCTAATCTACAGGTATATATACAAGGCAGAGGAGAAGGACTTTAGTCAAGGTCCGAGTGATACTGAAAAGTACTGAAAGGTTCCAAATGATATCTTTAATGGGGAACTGAGGTGTCAGGTCAAGGAGGGTGGAGTAGAAGGCCAGTGTCATATCCATAACAACTCCACCTCACCTCCACTCCACTCTGCCACCACTCCGGTCCTCCTCTGGTCCATCCTCCCCCCACACCTCTGCTATACCCTCCAGTTCACCTCTGCCTCCAATCTCCAGTACCTTCTCCAGTACCTCTTATCCTCATCCTACACGATTATTAATATTCTTATCTACCCAATATTACTACAGACCTCCTAGGACCTCCACCCACTCTGCAAAGGTTTTCCCACTTCTAGTAGCTGTCACTAATTCCACCCTTCACCTACCCACTCCACAATGCCTAATAAGGCGATTCTCTCACGAGCTCACTGACCTGGCAAGTGGGTAAGTCCCCCTTGGGTTTTCCCCTTTGTTCCCATTTGTCTTCTATTATGTATATAAGGCCTGTACTGTAGTTGATGGCACCTCAGTGCAAAATCAATGACTAGACTACCCCCCAGAGTTTGTACCCTCTTATTCTGAAGTTAAGGACCAGACTCCTAAGCATTACTGAACGTAGGCACAGTGCTCCTCTCTGAGTCGCTGAGGCTGTGGTCCCTCTGCTTGTTCTCTACCTCCGGCCTCCTTCCAAGGAAAGGTCCAGGGACACTGCCCTCCTTGTGTGTTCTTCACAGCCAGAGGATAAATGGGAATGAGAAATGGGTAAGGGGAAGTTAGCTGACTGAATGGAAAGAAGACATCAGTTGTACTATAAGTGGAGGATGACTAATTAAGATGATGAGAGCAGGGTCACCAGAGGATACAGGTAGCTCCAAAGCTGGAGTTACATATCCAAGGAGTGTTGGGTGACTCCACTAAATGAAATGGGGAAAGGAAGTATATAACAAGATGTTGGGGGTCTGTTGGGAGGTCAGAGCAATCTGGGGATTCTGAAGGTTCCAGCTTGGGACTGAGCTTCTGGGATGGAGGTGGCTAAGGGCGAATTTGCCAAAGTCCAGGCCGGAGCTGGGGCAGTTGGGATGGAAGGTGACATTGGGAAGTTGGGAGGAATGGTGTAGGGGATGATGAGGTTGTTAGGAAGGTGCAGTGGGGTGGGAGAGTGTGGGGTTGGGATTCCGGGATATGACACAAAGGTCAAGGAAGACAGTGTCAATAATGACTAGGATTCTCAGGAATGTCCTTATCGCTGCGAACTGACACACAGTCTCCAACAAGCCTCAAGCATATGACCTTGGAAGTGATCATGAATGCTGGGATGAATAAATGGTGTCCAGATGATCCATGGGAGGCTGGGAAATGTGCCTTGAGGAGTCATAACAGGAAGAGTGGAATCATGGGAAATTCAGAGGTGTCAAGTCAGGTGGTGGACAACCAGTGGTTCCAGAAATTCCGGAGTGGTGACACTAGGAGAGGTCCAGAGACTGATCTGTAGCATCCAAAGGAACAAGATGTGAAGATTTGCAGTGAATCACACACACATCTTACATTGACACCCCAAGCCCTGAGGCCTCTGGCACGTATTAACAGGCAGACACAGTTGTTACATTTGGACATAGATGTTACACATGGACACTTCCATTACATGCAGACAAGAGATTTGAGTTGTGCATTGACAGTACCTACTCATCACCAGGTGCAGCACTGTTGCCTCCACATCTTCCACAACCTCTGTGATTGCTGTTGCCCTTGGCTCCACCTCTCTGGCCTCTCCTTCCACGACTAACTTCATGAGAACTGTCACTGCTGGGACCATCATCTCTGTGGGCCTGGCCCCTGCACTCATGCCTTGTCCTCCCTCCCTCATCCAAGCTGACTAGGGTGGTTGCCACTTCAGTCTCTACATCTGGTTCTGGTCCTTGTGCGAAATTGTCAGTACAAAAATATTAGTAAAAGCACTTCAGAGGAAACATTTGGATCTGCTTCCTATAGCAAATTTTTAGTGTGAAATTCCACCTGTATAAATTCTTGCAAAGGAATCTGATGGAAAACTCACATTAAGATCCATTTCTTCAAGAAGAGCACTCAGGCCCAAAGGAAGATGTCCAACTTGTCCTGATGTGTGTTCACCCCCTGCCCCTGCAGGAGCACCAAACAACAAATGCTGGTACCAATTCATGGTCTCATGCATTGGTTGGACATTGGCAGTTTTCTCTTGTTGAAGCACCGTAAAGATAAAACCATATAGGTTAAGGAGGATATTGACATAGTTAGTGGCACTGGGCTTGCCAGAACCAGAGGTCATCTCAGTGTCCCCAGATAAAATGAAATAGACCTATTTGATATAATTGGTCAGCATGAGATCATCAAGTGGAATTTCAACTATGGCATACCAGCATTGAAACAATAGCCAAAGTACCAGGCTGTTAGAGACCAGATTGAGATGAAGGATTGTCTCCATGGCGGAGGGCTTCAGCCTCAGCAACTCAAGCCAGGAGCGTTGTGCCAAGTTACACATCCGTGCCCTAATTTACTTACTGTCAGGGACGCGTCCGGGGTCGAGAGGGCCCGGGGGTAATGCCCGGCACTGAGGCCGTCGCGGGGTGTGGAGCGGGCGTGCGTACTGGCAGGCCCGATCCGGGACAGTGGTCCCTGGCCACTCAGACTGAAGTGGAGAATGTGTTATTATTATTAAAGAGGAAAACTATACTACTTACCTGAAGTGGAGAATGTGAGAAGAAGGTTACTTCTTCGGTTCCCACTTCAGGTACATTTATGTACATGCGGCTTGAGTCACATGACAGGTGCCACGTCATCCTCGGAGGCAGCCGCAGGCATCCGGGTGTCCCCGTGGGGGATCCCGAGAGTGTCCGCTACATGCGCGCGTGCTGGGCACAGCGGGAGGCCGTCCGGGGTGTGTGGGCCGGACGGGTCAATAGTACATCGATACAAGGGAAGGTGGTCCGTGTAGATAGAAAGAAATAAACAGGAAGAGGAACATGAGAAGAATGAAATAAAGAAAGGGGAAAGAAAAGGGAAAAGAGGGGGGAGGAGAGGGAGGAAGGAGGGGGAGGGGGATAGACAGCGGGGAGCGGGTGTGGTGTGGCCGGGTGGGCCCGGGTGGGCCCGGGTCAGGCAGGTGTGCCCTGACACTTACTGGCAACAAGAACTAAAGGGGGATCAACTCTAGTCGATTTTATCACTGAGGTGTAACCTATGTACAAGTTAAGTATCTATATAGTTACAGCGAGAGCAGGCCCATGAATGGCAGGGCCAAGCAGAGTGGAGCTAACGGAGTTAAACGTTAGCCAACTGAATATTACCGACAAGTCAGGTTATGGGGTTAGCGGAATGGCAGGCGATAACCCAGGAATGGACAGGAGGGATAGACCTGAAGGTGGGCTTGCAGGGCAAGCAAGTGAATTGCCCAGCAGAGGTGGGAGTGTGCTAGTGGACGTCAGAGCTGTCTGGAAGCCTTCGGGGCTCCATACTTAGGGAGGCGTAGGTAATATATTGAAAAGAGGGGGTGGTGACCATCAAGGGAGGTGGAGGTGATTACGGAATACAGGAGCTCTGAGGTTAGTGACGAAGGAGCAGAGGTGGTCCGGAAGGATTGGAGGCAGTGGAGGTCGATGGCCATGGATGGATATGACACAGGCGTGATTTCAGTTACCTCATATGTGATGCCTAGTGCCTTTTGTGATGCACATCCTTTGGCAGGCTCCCAATCCTCTAGCTCAGGAGATCCTGGAAGGGGGATGGAAGAAACAGGGACAATGAGTGCAGAAGGACCAAACACAAGGACAATTATTGCCTTGTTGTAGCACTGTGAGTGGAATATTACGTACCTGCAAGTGAAATACTCACAGCTGCAACACTTTGTGAGCGAAACACATGCTGACAATGGGATCGGTCATTGTCTGGGAATAAGAACAAGGGCAAGTGGTCGATTGGGTTGGCAGAATCAGGGTTTACTCCTAGATATTCATGAAGTTGTTCTGGAGTTGGGCCATGGCCTGACTTTAGCACTCATATGCTAAGGTCCATGCCAAAGAGTTGGAGACTTGATTGATGCAACCAATTCATCATTTGTCACCTTCATGCTCCAACAGTTGAAACAAACTAGTTATGCCTAATTAGTGAAAGCTGCAAGGATAATTTCTGAGCCATGAGTGCATTCCTTTGCAGACCAAGGCATAGCCCCAGATTGGTCACTGAGCTCCTTAGTTAATATAGGATATTTCATTTCAAAGACTTTGTGAACACAGAATTGATTGAAATTTCCAACAGATGAAAACACTGTTGCTGGTGCCCATGAATGGAAATCACTGTCTAGTTCCACCATAAGGGAACCCTTCATCAAAAAGGGAGAATACAAAATAGCATAGAGAGCTGCATATTTTGTGATTGTTGCCTCGATACTTTTGATGGTGGATGCATCACCAGGAGTAGGATCTTCACTATCACTGCCATTATTGGCATCTCCAACAAGTTGATTATCATCCACTTCATCAGTATTGATGGGCAGATCAGTAGGTGATGGTTGCACAGGTGTAGAGCTAGATGGCACCTGGAAGCCATGGGATCGGAAGGTAGTAGAACTAGGTGAGGCAGACATAACAGTTGTGCGCAGTGGGAGTATCAGACAGATTGTACACACATCTCATGAATTGTGGCGTTGTTTTATGGATAGACAAATAGCTGAAATTGAATTTACATTACTATTGTAGGCTTAAATGGCTCACAGTGTAGGAGGGCACAGCAAGTACCACTCAAATGTGTTGTAGTTTCTCATTTCTTTCTCTTTTTCTTTTCAATCTGCGCTCTATAAGCGTCACATGACACCAGAGTTGTCCTTTACTGTTTCTACTATCTGTATAAACATTAAAGTCCAACTCAGGGTGTGCCACCAGCTGAGATACAATAAAATGAGGCCAGAATCGCGTTTTTCGAGGCTCCAACGAGCACCCTTAAGCCTCCAACACATTCCTAGTGCCCACGGCACATTTCCACATTTTTTCCAAATTTTTTTCATGCTTTTTTTCTCAAGACTCATATTGCCACTTCCCCAAATATCATGGTTATCCACCATTTCCCCCATATCTCCACCAATTTTCCACCAATCCACACGATTTTGAGCTCTAAAGACAGCGACGGATGAGGAGAAGAGGATGAAATGACGGGACGGGAGTTAGGATGATGGATACGCGGTGGAGAAGTGAGATTAATGGTTGATATTGACCTTATGGGCCTCAATTATTGATTTTATTGTTACCTTGTGGACATTTTTTGTTCTGATTTCTCTTTTTTTCTATATATACACCAAGTTTGCATTGTACTTACAGTTGTTGGACCCCTCTTCTGTGCTACAAAGACTGTGGTGTTGAGCGACCCTTCCATACGTTTAAAAAGCTTAGTTTGACTCCCTGACAACTGTCCAAGAAGGACCAGGGGTGAGTGCTAAGTTTAAAAGAATTTATTAGTATCATGCACTTGCACCGGGACCGTGTGCAGCCTTACTGTCATATCCATACATACCCAATCCCAATCTGACTCCCGGACCTCCTTCTTCACCACCTCCGGAGTCCTACCCTACCACCATCCATTCCGATATTCACCTTCGGACCTGACACCACTCCTCCTCTCACAACACCTCCACCCTTCCATCACTCTCCTACCCTTCCCCTGTCTGCTCCGATACTCACCTTTGGACCTGACTCCTCTCCTCTCCTCCACTCCTCACCCCGCTCCTCTCTTCTCCCTCTTCCCTCTTCCCCTCTCCTGCCATACCTTTGCTCCAAGATCCTGTCATAGTTCCGACCTCGGACTTTGACTCCACCTTGGCTTAAGTCCATTGCATTGGTGACCTCATACTATGTAAACACCATTGCCAATATTCCTTGGACTTTCAACCCCGCCTCCATAAGCTCTGTAAGCTCCATGGATCATATTCAGCACTTTTGCCGCTTGTAATGTATCTTTCACATTTCCCCCTCATCCTTATTTGGACTGCTGCTTCTTCCCATTCTAGCCAGTTAGTCATCATCCCCACTTCCCCTCACCCTCCTGCCCCTCTGGGCCTCGCCCTCCCTATCTCCTTTTGGACATACCACAGGTGCTGCCTAGGTGGTGGTGGAGTAACGGGAATGTATGGTGAGTGGCCCTCACTCAGGCTCGCATCCCTGTCTGGCTTCTTAGGCTGAAGCAGTAATGGTTGTTATTAGAATGAAAGGCCAAACTGAACTAAGCTAGACTAAGGTACTTGCCTGAAGCAGTAATGAGAAGAAGGCTACTTCAGTTCTGCTTTGGCTCAGTTTATATACAGGCAGGAACGGGTCATGTGGGGGTGCCATGTCAGCCTGGGCAGAGCCAGGTGATTGCAGGTGGCTCCATGGGTAATCCTGAGTGTTAGAGGAGAGAGGTACAAGTGAGGGTGCACAGCGTATCCAGTGGCACGGTACCCACATGGAGTACTCAGCATCAGATGCATCCGTGCTACACAGGTAAGAGGAGAGGTCATCCATATACAGAAAGAAAGAAAGAAAGAAAGAAAGAGAGAAGAAAGGGAAAGGAAAGAGGAGGAGCAGGAGGGTGCAGCGTGGAGCGGAGTGGCGTGCCCTGACAACACTCAGGGAGTCAAGCTTAGGGTTTCTTTTCTACTTGGATCTCTCAGCACTACAGTCTCTTTTGTAGTCAAAAGGGAGGTCCTCTTTCCATTCCTAGGTGTACAGGGCTTTTAAACACATGGAATGGCAATAATGTGGAAAAACAAATGAAAAGAAAATATAAAACAAAAGATTGTTGTTATGAGCACCATGTAGACAGTTATGTATGGCTGATAAGTCCAACAGTTGATGTGGAAGTTCAATAAAAGAAAACAGGAGTGATAAGTGGGCCATATCTGCTAAGAATTGCCATCCTCCACCAATTTCCATCATCACACCACACTCATCCATCTCCTCCTACCTGTAGCATCTCTTCCCGACCTCTCCATTTGATTCCCAGGGTTTGTAGCTTTCTCCCAATACCAAATTTGTCCCAAATGGTTGAGATTTGACTGAGTGGTGGGCATGAGAATCATGAAATTGGCCCATGCACAGGGTTAGTGTTACAAAAATGGGGCCGGAGGCGCCCATTTTCGTCCGTTCTTGGCACAGGAAAGTGGAAAAGGGTAGAAGTTGAGCTCATATGATTTTACAATAGATATGGCAGGTGTTGTTATAGATGTTTTCACAGAGACATTACTCTCAGGTTTTTGGTTGATTATTGATTGGTTAAACTTAATTACTATACAAATCATGTGATACAGAACCCATAAGAGTCTAAAATGGGAAATTCCCATTTCCATAACATCGCCCCCCAGACTCTTATGGGATTCTGTGCAACAGTCCCCAAATTGAAAGAAATAAAATAAAGGAAAGGTTGTGAGAAGTCTCACAATAAAGAAAAAGTCCCTCAGCCAGCACCAAAACCCAGTGGGAAAGCTTGGCATGAGGTTTCAATTATGAAATAAAACATAAAAGTATGATAAATTATAAGAAAATAAAATAAAAGGCCCCTTGGCCCCCCAGACTCTCATGATCCCACAAGGCGGTGGCTCACCAGGAGGTCTCAGAGGCCGCAGACAATTTGGGGGAGGCCATATGGGTGCCCCAGAATGGACTTGGGGCTGAGTTGGGTCCGCACTGCAAATAGCAGAGTAGAGCAGACCCAAAGAGGTTGGAGTGCGGTGGAGAAGTGGCCGCACTGAAGGAGATGGGAGAGAATGATGGGGGTGAGGGATTATGGGAGTTGGTAGAGGAGGTGTTGGAGTGGGGAGAGTCAGAGTGGAAGTGGAAGGTGAAATGGAAATGGGATGCGGCGCTTCTGGGGGCGGCACAGCGATTGGGGGAACTGGAGAGGGCGAAGGGCACATGGAAATGGGCTGGGAATGCCAGGGAATCGGTGGTGGAGCAGCTGGGTGCGAAAGGAGGGGAAGCGGGGGCGTTGGACCCGGCGTTCGCGTCGAATTTGACGCGTCTGCCGCTTTTGACATGTGCTGGGGGACTGGAGGGGGCACTGGGGCGTCCAAATGCAAAGAAATCGCGTGTTTGCACGTCGATTTTGACCCAAATTCGGTTGGTTCATGAACCAGATGCGTCTGCACAAGCGGGCATGCGATTGCATGAGCCTGACGCAAAATTGGGGTGTTGGATGGTGTTGGAATGGGGGTTTGGAGGAGGGAAGTGGCTGGGAGTGGCTGGGAGCGCATCGGAATAGCGCTGGATGGCTGCATTTCCAGCGAATATGAGGCAATGGCCTCTTTGACGCGTTTGAAATGTAAATAAAAATCAGCCAGTCGCCTAACCAGAAAATTCCAGGCTATACGCGAGCTACTCAGCTGAGATCCACCCAGTATTAAGCTACAATCGCCCCAGGGGCCCACCTCAAAATTGCACGGCATGAATCCCAGTGCTGCTGCTACCTGAGTGAAATTCCGCGCTTCTTGGACAATGAAGCGCATTTGGTGGCGGCGCAGGCGTACGAGGCGATATAGGAGTGTTCCAGTGGCCTGGTGATACTTGCATTCCATCCCAATCGTCTCCAGGGTTAACTGTCTCCATTCCAACAGCAAATCCAGCGGTGCGCGCATGTCTGGAAGTGTTCCACTAGAGAACTCCTCCAGAACTTGCTGCAGAAGAGAAATCACCTTCTGGCAATTGTCTGGGGGCCTCAGCGCGAGGGTCCAGGGTGTCTGGTCCTGCGTAGAGTGTCGCATATCCGGATTCCTGGATGCAACCAGGGTTGGGGCACCAATGTTACAAAAATGGGGCTGGAGGCGCCCATTTTCGTCCATCCTTAGCGCAGGAAGAGGGAAAGGTTGGGAAATGGGGTTCATATGGTTATACAGATGTTATCACAGGCAGTTTAACATTAGTTGTAACAGATGTTAGCACAGCGGGTTTTTGGTTGTTTATTGATTGGTTAAACTTAATTACTATACAAATCATGTGATACAGAACCCATAAGAGTCTAAAATGGGAAATTCCCATTTCCATAACAGTTAGGCATCCTGGAAAGTGTCCATGAGAGTCCCCATGTCAATTGAATCTTCATACACATCCTTTGTGATTTTTCTGAGCACTCCAGAATGCATTTTGGTTGTTTGTTTACTTCTGTACAGCTTGCGATTTCCATTTTGGGCCAAAAACCAGTTTTGTGGTCTCCTGAAGTATGGATCTCGGCTCCACCACATGGGACTTTCAACACTGCCACCCTCATGTGCCTTTTGACATTGTGTGGAACCTTAGAGTAAGATGAGAAATTGTCACCACCATTGCTCCACAACAGCTGGGTCAATCTGGATGAAATTTGGGGAATCCATGTTTATCATTTTTCTCTATTTTTTGAGCCCTTGATTGTCTCTCAGTGGTCAGCAGTGCCAAGCATAGTTTTTGGGCTGAACCAATTCAGTACCAGCATGTTATGCATAACTGTACTCTGTTATAAAATGGAATAAATTGTTTTTATGCTCCATGGGCATTGGGAGGTGATCTTTACATGCAAGGAACCCATAAGGAATGTAAACTGCAAAAATACCAGCAGTGTAGAGTATAGTAGGTTATCCTGCCTACAGTG